ACCCCTGGCTAAGTCTTATCATGATGGCTTTTAGGGATGTTTCTGGCTTGATCTGTTCTAAGACCCATTTGTCCTTTTGGCTGTCCATGGACTCCTCAGCACTCTTCTCCAGCACCACATCTCAAATGAATTGATTTTCCTCCTATCTTCTTTCTTGACTGTCCAGATCTCACATCCATACATGGTAATAGAGAATGCAATGGCTTGTAAGATTCTGACTTTTGCACTGAGTTGTGTATTTTTGCATTTTATGATCTTTTCTAGGTAAAATGCTATAGTAGTCAGTGTTGCCTCCACCAAAACAGAAGAAGAAATTGGCATGGAAGAGTTTGCTAGGTTGGTTTCCACTTTCCACTTCCTGCCTAACTTTCTATGCACTGGGTCTGCTCCAGCACCAAATGTGTGGCTACATCCCAACTTTTGCAGGTCTTCAGAAGCATATATGAGTGACTACGGAATCATCTGTGTTGTGGCACAATTTTCCAAATCAGCCCACTCCTCTCCACCCTTGCTTGTATTTAGAGATCAAGAAAAGTCAGGAAAACAGCCTGCTTTTCACTTCTGGGGCAGCCCTGATACATTAAAAAGGCAAACAGGAAGCCAGCCAGGACAGGGGATGGTGGAGAGGAGACTGACCACACTCCCCACTCTTCCCTGCCACTTCATTTCAGTAATGAAAAGAGCAGCAGGAGGAGAGAGGTGTGAGCAAGCTCTGCCAAGTTTTCCTCAGTTCTGGGCATTGGTGGCAGTTTTATGAGGAAGACAGTCCCTCGGAAGAAGAGGGAAACTCAAGACAGGTTTTGATGGTTGCAGAGCTGTGGCTTTGGGCTGACAGGAGGAAAAGGCAATGGTGGGGCAGCTGGGATACAGTGGCAGACCTTGGGGATGCTACAAAATGGGACTCAGGCAGGATGTGGTCACATAATTCTCAACTTGCTCCAGCATACTTGTTCCAGGTAAATTATAGGAACTATGGCCTAGCAATGTCTCTTGTAGACCGACAGGAACTTCTCAGATCTCACGGCAAGAATGTTTACACAACCCAAGTAAAGCTTGCTGCCTCTATCTGTCAACAAGAAGACTGAGCAAGATCAAACTTGCTCCTTTTGAAGGGTTCCAACAGTGAGCTATGTCCAACTGAAATTCCAGAATCTATAAATTTTGATAACTCTCCAGAGGCATTCTAAGAATGGATTTTACACTGCTTCAGAAAGAGAAAACTGCTATCAATCAAAACTTCACAGGCAAGGATCTGCCCATGAATATCCCTCCCAATGCCATGAGCTCCATTCCATTTATCCATCCTTCTGATCAGCTGAAAGTACTAGGTTAAGAGACTTGACAGTGCTGGGCATCCAAATCAAATGTTGGTCTGGCAACAATTCAACACCATCTAACAGTTGGACACTCTCCTAATGTTATGGGTAAATTATTTAGGTCACAGGGGTAGGCAAACTGTCCCCTTTAAGGGCCGAGGGACTTCAGCTCCCAGAATCCCAGACTATTGGCCAACATGGCTGAGGCTTCTGGGAACTGAAGTCCCTCGGCCCTTAAAGCCTACCCCTGATTTAGGATGATGATTCACTAAAGAAGAAATGTGATTTTTAGAGGGAGAGAGAAAGAGAAGGAGAAAGAGAGAAAGAGAGTAGGGATGACAATTGGGAATGGGACGAATTTGGAAGATGGGAGGTGGTTTGGCATGGGGGAGGAGGTTAGAAGGAAAGCATAGATTGTGAAGGAATTAGTTAGAGTACCTATAAAGAGATTTTTGAAACAGATTGTAAAGAGCAGTAAATCAAAAATTCAGAATCTCTATGCTGTGAGACAGCATGGTCATAACTAGTTTTTGTGGGTTTTTCGGGCTGTGTGGCCATGTTCTAGAAGAGTTTCGTTCTGACCTTTCGTCAGCATCTGTGGCTGGCATCTTCAGAGAATATATACCCACTCTCTTCCATTCCAGCATTTTTTGAAGATGCCAGCCATAGATGCTGGCGAAACGTCAGAAAGAAACTCTCCTAGAACATGGCCACACAGACCGAAAACCCCACAAAAAACTCTGGATGCTGGCCATGAAATCCTACGACTTCACAATGGTCATAACTGTTGTTGTTGTTGTGTGCCTTCAAGCTATTTCCAACTTACAGTGTCTCTAAGGTTCACTGCGGTTTCTTGGCACAATTTGTTTAGAGGTTATGATGGTTCTCAATAGTTCCACTCCACTCCACTGAGCTGGATGGGACCTTTTGAGACCACTTCTTTTTAAAAAAACAACAACAAGTTGCTGCCACCAACCAATGATTTAGCTTGTCACACCCCAACAATTCACTGGGACATTGCTGGAGCCTTATCCTAGTAACCTAAAATCAGACACTAGCCGATTTAAGGCTGTTATAAGGAAGAAAGAATGAGGCAGAGCACTAAAGAAAAAGGTTTACTATAATGTAAAGAACAGTAAAGAATAAGACATGGAGGACAACTGGTCCTCCAGACACAAACTTAAAAATTAAGTTCTATGATTCTATGATCCTAACTTATGAACTAATAATCACTTCAGCCAAACCTGAATCCCTCACTAAGAAAAAAAGGGTCAAAAGCCAAGGCTTTACTTTCCCTCAGCCCTTCTCTCTCAACTCTTCCCTGCCTAACTTTCCAACCACCATCCAGAAGGTTCTCTTCTACCTGCTGTCTGATTGGCTGGTTGCCCTCACACCACCAGTGATGTCATCACATAGATTCCAGTACCTTCTCCCACAGGGAAAAAGTTCCTGATAAATGGAGTGACTTCCATTTAACAGAGTTGGTTTTCTCTTCATCTTCCTCTGAGACTAAGAGTGTGACTTATTCAAGATCACCAATGGGTTTCCATGTTTGAGCAGGGATTTGAACTCTGGTCTCCTAGATTTGTAGGCCAACACTCAAACCACTACACCACACAGGCCTCCTTGGTCATTATTGCTTATGGTTTAATACACAGCTATTCGCTAAACCACACCTTTCTACTGGCCAAGTTAGCAAGGGATTTAACAAATCACAAACCATGAAATATTTGTTTTATGGCAGCAGGGGAGTACATGGAAGTGTGGAAACTCCTGGTGTAAAAAAGTAAATCCCAGAGGTGAAAATGCTACAAGACAGAAGAGGATCAGAGTGGTGGTGGCGGCAGCTGAAAGTCTACCTAGACAAGGAGGTATGTAACTGCCAGGTAGAAGTTCCCCAACTGGTACTGGTATACCTCAGTTAACAAAATTATTTCTGTTCCTGGCCATTATTTCTTGAAACCAAAAATTTGGTACCAGAGGCAGAAATAACATGGAAAGAATAAGGATAGATTTCTGCAGCACCACCACCCCAAAAAAAGGAAAGAAAAAAAGAAAGCCGGGAAAGCAGTTCAACATGTTTCAGCAACTTTTTGGTTCAGAACTAACAATATGCATATGTGAAACATCAGATAAGCCTTGCATAAGTAAACAAAACATTCTGGGCCTTCTCGATACCACTTGGAGGTTACTTCCCAAATATCCAGGAATGTTTTTTTCTTCCTTTCATCATTCTCCAATTTCCTTATGATTTCCATTTGGTGGTCAAAGTTATAGATCTATGCATTTTAACATGCTGGGTGTAACTAGTGAGATAGACTAGTTTGCTCTGTCATTTTCTCTCCATTTTGCTGTTCACATGTGTTCACTAAGGGATTTTGGAGGCGTCTGCTGTTTACCTGCTGTTGTGGAGAGACTCACAGCTATAGTAGGATAGGCTAGAGCAGAATCCCATTCTTTCCCAACTCAAGCTTTATTGCATTGTTTGCTGCTGCAACCTGACACTGGATTGTCTATTTATTTATTTATGGCCTTTCTTCACCATCTTCCCAGTACTGATACTGCTAAAAAAAAGATACTTGAAGCTAGGCAGAAGATGAGAAGGAAAGATGGGAATGGGCAGGTGTTTAAAAAGGATATTGTGGTATCCTCTTGCTCCTGATCTTCAGTAAACATGCACACCCCAAGTGTCCTATTCAGTTATAAAATGCTGAGTTTATTATCAGACTGGGGGTAATACACTTGGCAGTGGGTTGTGCTAAAAGGAAATGTTGGACCAGATGCAAAGCTATGGTGATACAGAAGCCATGCTCTTAGGGATAAGGGCGTGTGACATATGAATGGACCAAAGCTTATTTTGAACTAACACCACTGGTCCTTATTAATTTATATTTGTGGTGACTATTATTGGTAGTAGGGAGCTGTGGTTTTTCTGCATAGCCAGCAGGTCGCTTCCCATTTGGTTGAAGCAATGCTCTTCTCTTCCTGAGAGCTTGAGAAGGGGGCTCAACAGGCACATAGGGCTTCAGCTGATGCCACAGGAGAGTGGCTTATCACGCCTGGAATTGTCTACCTACTCTCTGTTTACCCTATAATAAGGCCAAACTGACAACCAATGATAGAAATAAACTGTTTTGCATTAGAGTGAACAGTGTATACTTTTTATTCTATTTTGACCACTGTATTAAAAACATACAACCTCCTCTTTTTTCTACACTTATTTTGAATCCAATTGCTAGTCACAACTGGAGCAGATGTACTGAATTTATGGTATTGTCAACATTTATGTAAATCCCACTGATTTTTTTTTCTAGTTCAGACTAGGTTAAGTCTGCAGGCAGTTCTTGTTATCTTTACTGGCCTATGAGAAAAAAGTCTGCAAGGTGAGTTGCAGTTAAAAATAAACATAATACAAATAATTAAAAAAACCATAAACATGAAAAATGCATCTATATAAAATAACAATAAATCTCAGCCCTATAATCAATCAACTATATTACTTAAAAGACCAGGCAAACTTAAAAATTTACATTTTCAAAAAAGCAATATATTATGAATGATTTTTTTAGCTGTCTTGAACTTTGAATATTTGTAAAACATAACAGCAGTAAACATTATTACTGTTGCTAAATTAAGAATCCCATAGCAATTTCCACAGCAGGCCAGTGAATGAAGCTAAGTAATTACTGCAGCAACAGAAGGAGTAAGGAGAAAAGGTCAGGGCAAACATGTCATGATACCCAGTGTAGACATAAATTTAGATCAACCAACCCTGCTCCATCCCAGATTCTGATCAACAACTGAGAGGGCCTTCCAAAGCTAATCAGAAAACCCACAAAGAGGGAAAACACTAGCAGCAGAGGATGAAAGGGCTGAGTAACAGGTATCATCTTACAAAACAACTCCAGTGCCATTGCATACATTATTTATGCACCATGGGCAAATCCAAACAACATTTGACCTTTCCCTATGACAATACCTGTAAGGTCACATGCTAGCTATTAGCACAGATGACTACGACTTGCTTATTCTATTTCCCCTATCTAATCCCATTCAAAGCCAGCAAACTATTGGTTTCCAAGTCCTGCTGTATATTTCTGCTCCTGATGACAGAATTGAAAGCATATTTACCATAACAAACTATACAGTCCACGGATTTTGTATCCACAGATTCAAGCATCCACAAACTGAAAAGATTTTTAAAATATATACATTCCAAAAAGCAAACCTTGATTTTGCCATTTTATATAAAGGGCACCATTTTACTATGCCATTGTATTTAAAGGGGACTTGAGCATCCACAGATTTTGCTATCCATGGTAGGTCCTGGAACCAAATCCCAGCAGATAACAGGAGACCAATGTATACATCTTTGCTGAGCAAATGCAATACAGAGATAAATGTCAGGCCAGGTGGGAATCATGTAGCCCTCCACATGTGGTAAGATTACAAATTTCAGCAGCCCTAGGCAGCATCAACGATGAGTAATTCTGGGAGTTGCAGTCCAATAATATCTTGGTGGTCACATGAGTCCCTTACCTAACTAAGACATATGGAAGCAAAAAAGTATGGGGCACTGCTTGTACAACAATTCAAATATATGATGTGAAGGAGCAGCAAACTTCATTGTGTATAAAAATGTTTTTCTATCAAAAAAGCAGGCCTATGTTTGGCTAGGAAATATTCATATGGCCTTCTTCAGGGACTGTCAAAATAGAACAAGACACAGGTATCAATAAACATAAATGCTGCAAGTTAATTTATAATATTCGTTATATATAGGTAGCTTGTTCTATCTTCAGTTCATACTTTGCATTTAAGTCTATGGATTGTCCCTCTTTCTTTAACAGTCTTTGAAGAGGGCTACACAAATACTGACCAAACAAATAGCAGGCCTTTTTTTTGGGGGGGGGGGGGAGAAAGCCATACACACACACACAACCTGAGACTTTGCCTTTCCTTTACATTAGGTTCAATTGATGTTTCCAGTCTTTTTTGGTGTAGTTCAAAAACATGATATATTATTATAATGATTAATTCATTTTTATTTTTTGAAAATAATGCAACAGTTAAACAGATCAAATATCTATGATGGAAGTAAAATGTTTGCAATGTTTCAAGGAGCACGATCCAATTTGTTTCTTATATCTGTACAACACAGCATGATTACTACAAATGTGGCATTTATGTAGTTCTAAAGGCACTTTTATCATTATGTAGCATTATAGCAAAATATTACTTTTCACAATACCCATGACAATAACCATGAGCTGGAACTGTTTATGTCAGTCTGCTAGAACAGTTAGTGGGGCATGTTGCTAAAATGATCAAATCAGAGGAGTTGGAAATAGGGGACCACCTTGTTCTATCTCAAAATCTAACAGACATTACTCTGAACCTGCTGGTAATTATCCAGCCTGCAAGCACTGATGACATTACTGCTATAAACAGCACATAAATAGCTACACCTCTACTGGAAACTGAGCATCAGTTTCAATAGAGGATTTTACTGTAGAGAGCAGGGGTAGGCAACCTAAGGCCTGGGGGCCAGATGCGGCCCCTCGAGGCCTTTGGACCGGCCCCAGGCCGGTCCTGTCGCCGCTGCTGCCGCCTGCCATAATGATATTGATTATTGTTGTTATTACTTGTTCTTAGGGTTTTCTTGGCAAAATCTCCGCAGGGGTTTTGCCATGGCTTTTCTGGGGCTGAGAGAGTGTGCATGCATATTTAAAAAAATTAATTTAAAAAAACCCATATTTTTATTTTTATTTATTTAGAGCAGCTTCATTTATATATCGCTTCATATTGCGCTATGGGATGTCTAAGCGGTTTACAACTGTAAGGTCATTGCCCCCCAACAGTTGGGTACTCATTTTATTGACCTCGGAAGGATGCAGGCTTGAGTCTAGCCTGAGCCCTGGCTAGTATTGAACTCTCAACCTATGGTCTATGAGTGAGTGTGGCTGCAGTACAGGCATTTAACCACTGCACCACCAGGGTTCTTTATTTATTTATTTATTTATTTATTTTTGGTGCTTTGGCCCCCCCAATTGTCTGAGGGACAGCAACCCGGCCCCCGGCTCAAAAAGGTTGCCTACCCCTGGTGGAGAGCATTGAACAAGGCAATGAGTAATTCTCTGGGCTACAACAAGATGAGATGGAAAACATTAATGATGCATCCCAGTGAATAGCATTGAGTTAAAATTGATACCCTTACAACTCTTTTCTTCAATGTAACTGTAGTTCTAAGTGTGTACACATGGCCAGTGAACCCAGCCAGTATCTCTCTTTCCCCATTCCCTAATTTCTGAACCATTCATCCTAATGAAGAATTCTGGAGAAGTTGAAAGCCTTTGCGTAGTTTCTGATCACGATATTACCCAACACTGATTTTTCGGTTAATAAAATCTGTTTGTTTCAATCTACTTTTACATTTAGCAGCCTGGAAATCCTGGACATAAAACATTTTCAGAAAAAGGATGGTTGTAATCTTTCCTTCAAGAGTATGCAACATGATTATTGATTAACCATTGCTACTTTGTCTCTTAACACAATACCAAAGTTGCTTTGTGCCTCAACAATGGAATTCTAATTGAATTTTATCTGATTATGTTGATGAGCT